ATATTTTTAGCTCATCCTAACGCCCATTGCGGTTAGATACCGTATGAGAGAATGTTTAATGTGTATGCAGAGTCGGTAACAGAACTGGCTCTGCCTGGCCATCGGTGTACGTCTGGCGGGTGCTTGATTCCGGGGCTGACGGGAACTTGTTAAACCCCTTAAATGTTTCCGTTCGCTCCTCCCTCGGATGCCGTCCCATCGGTGATTCTCGTAACTTCTCTCTCAAACTGTTCACATGCCATCGGTCGGCCACCTGTGAGATGGTTTACCTGATTCAAGTTGACCTACCAACTGAGCTATCATGGCTTTTACAGCTTACACATTCCATCGCAACGTTCGTCTGTGGCCGTTAAGTAGCTGAAAGAGTAATACGAGAGGGAGAAAGAAATCAGCGTAAATTATCCTACAATACATAATTCGCTATGCTTGTCTGTTGGTGTGTGTCTCTGTATGTGGTGTGTAAGTGTGTATGTCTCACCGGAAGTTCATAACTTCCTCCAAATTGGTCGTGGAGAGTTCGAATTGATGGGCGATGTAAGATGGTAGGCAGGAACATTGGTAGGTGGCAGGAGGTGACAACCGCTGATAGGGGCTTACAAGGGGGTGTAGAAGTGAGGATCACCAAATTTACAACGGAGTTGAAGACACCTAACTGTGGTTGGAAAAGGCGTGAACATTATTGGTGAATGTGATTTGAAGAGTTAATTTCTATTGAAAGGCCGTGAATGTGCTTCGAAGAGTAGTGAATTTGATGAGAAAAGTGGGGAAGTTGAAGATACCTAATTGTGGTTGGAAAAATCGTGAATATGGTTTGATTGTCGTGAAAGTGATTTGAAGAGTCGTGAAATTCTATTGATAGGTCGTGAATGTACTTCGAAGAGTCGTGAATTTGATGAGAAAAGTGGGGAAGTTGAAGATACCTAATTGTGGTTAAAAACTCGTGTGACTTGTGGAATCGATGTGGTTTGAGGAATGGTGAATTTGATCACAAAAGTGGAGAAGTTGAAGACACCTAATTGTGGTTGGAAAAATCGTGAATATGGTTGGATTGTCGTGAATGTGATTTGAAGA